GAAACATGGTAATTCTTGTATAGCGATGGGACCATAGTTTTGAATTAGTAAAATTATAAGGTCTCTGCTCTACAGAATTGTACTGAGCGCTGTTTTTAAAAATAAAACATAATTAATAAGAAAACCGGATTATAAATCTTACTCTTCTTTCTCATTATTTTAATATATATATATATATATATATATATATATATATTTAGGCAGCAATTTTTCATTAATGCGTGTTTCATTATATAATACAGACAAGTCTTATCTATTTATTTTAAGTAAGTTCATTTCATATTGTCTGATAAGCTTAATAACATGATCATTGAAAGACGAAAGGAAATCACCATATTGTCTATATTATTTAATGAAACATGCATTAATGAAAGATTGCTGCCTAAATATACACAATTTAAATTATATGGTCCTGTAGCCAACTGAAATATATATATATATATATATATATATATATATATTATTAACCGTTCCCATTTGGGCATGAGATGCACTATGACCACTCGGTGTTGATCTCAGTATGAACACACTGATATTGATAACAGCCGCCAAGATAATATAATAGACCTTGCTAACTATAATGCACCTAGGCCCGAATGCATAAAAGTCGACTAAACACACAACACACACACCCTGAACATTGCTTTCAAGCATTAAACAGAATGTTCGGTGCTGACGTCAGTGTTCATATGTAACGGGTGTAACATTAAAATTGTCCAAATATATATATATATATATATATATATATATATATATATATATATATATATATATAATATAATGTAAATTATTTAAACTCGGTTAGTGAAAAAATAGCTTGAGAAAACAATTTTCAAATAGATTGACATATGTGGAAAATGAAAAAAAAAGCACCAGAAACCTCCGAATAGGGCTAAAATCATCGTCCAGCAAGTTAAATTTTTGGTACAAATATATATATATATATATATATATATATATATATATATATATATATATATATATAAAGCAGATGTGTGTGTGTGTCAACGAATAAACGGCCGCAATTTTCGATAGATTTATACGAAAATTTAGATGCACATGCTCCAAGTTAGCGGAAAGGCCAAGACCGACCTTGCATTTCTCAACTCCCATCGATAGTGGAAATAATCGATTTTTTCATGCTTCTACGGCAGTTTTCATGTAGTTTGCGGCCATTTACTACTGGCCAGAGTGAGAGCCAATAGCTGGCTGCCACGAATAGGCAGGAAGATTCTATTGGCCAGCGTGAGAGCCAACAGCTGACTGACACGAATGTTAACAAGCATGCTAGCAGGCAAAAAAAAATCGATAGCTGCATTCGTCACAAATGGGAAAAATTTAAATCTGCATGGCATTTTACTCCACTTGGCTCATTCACTTGCTTAAACTCAACGTTGATTCTGATTCCGCAGAACTGGGTTGGGTGTGAAAAAATATTTGTTGTTAACATTCTTTTTTTCATTTGGTTTTTCCAGTTACGTGTCCTTTTTTTAAAGCTGATCGTTTTGTGTTCATTTTGTTTAGTTCTTTTTTCGTAACAGATTTAATGTTTAGTATAGAGCTTAGAAAAAATTTGCAGTGTGAGATAGGCAAGAAGTAAGGCATGTAGCAACATCAGCACGGCAAAGGGCACTCCTTTAAAGGCAAGGAAGGGCAAAAATATTTTAAGTCAAGTGATAGCGATTGCTGTATGACCGTACGATTTTTTAATCAAAAGCGGCTATATTTTATTGTTTGAATATAACCTTCACAGCATCAGAATATCCTGAAGATGTTGACCCCATTTAGACATAAATATAACACAATGTACTATATATATATATATATATATATATATATATATATATATATATCGACATTCCCATATGAGGATCAAACCGAACAGCCTGACTTCAGCATGACCTTTGATTATAGTGGTGAAGGCTTTGTACAGAACCATCCAGACTTTTTGAAGGTCCCCAAACGAACGCCCGCAGGTTTTGAATTCAGAGTTGTCCTTCTCTTAGACCAGTTGCCATCCAAGGCTATAGAACCCAATCTGTCCTGCTATTTTAGCCATAGCTGGGAGGGGAAGAGGATTCCCAAGGTTATTAGCATGTAAGTGAATGTAATGGATTCGACTGAAATTCGAACTCGTCTCTCCGATTCCTCAATCCAAGCCGCTATCCATTACTCCACCGTGCTTCCTCACTCACTATCTCTCTCTCTCTCTCTCTCTCTCTCTCTCTCTCTCTCTCTCTCACTCACTGAGTCTATTCATTATCTATTCTGTTCATTATTTGTCCCATACTGTTCATTATCTATCTATCTATCTATCTATCTATCTATCTATCTATCTATCTATCTGAGGCAGTTCACTTCCTATCTATCTATCTATCTGACTGTTCACTTCCTATCTATCTATCTATCTATCTATCTATCTATCTATCTATCTATCTATCTATCTCAGTCTGTTCATTACCTATCTATCAGTCTGTCCATTATCTATCTATCTATTTGAGACTGTTCACTTCCTATCTAACTATCTATCTATCTATCTATCTCAGTCTGTTCATTATCTATCTATATATATATATATATATATGTGTGTGTGTGTGTGTGTGTGTGTGTGTGTGTGTTTTGATTTCTGTTATTTATCGCAAATAAAAGAAAAGGGCAAAAGTTGCAGATATACACATGAATAATTCCTGGAAAGATGGTAGCAGCCCATCTCCCTTCATTTTTATATATTTATCTTCATCAGCGGAGTCGATCGTTCCGCACACAATTTGAATACAGTTCTTAACATGCCATTTTGCGTGATCTGACGGCCGGCTTTTTTTCACGCAACACTAAAAACGGCTATCCGATTCACTCTCTATCTCTCTCTGCACCGTTCAGTTTCAAAGATCCACACCCCACCCCGCCGCTGCCCAGCCATAATAAAGACGCGAAGCTGTGATCAATAATAAATCACATGTCCTTTCAATTGTAAGACGAACCTTTTGTTCTGGAAGCACCATGGTGTTAGCGAAATAAAATTCTTTTGCAAGAGTGAAGCCGACAGTCATTCCGTTAAAGAAATGTGCTATAAATGTCAAATCGAAACTCACCTACTTGTTTAGATATGAATAAGAAATCATGTACCTTCATTATATATATATATATATATATATATATATATATATATATTTTTTCAACTCTTCCATTGAATTCGACCTATGAGGATCAAGCAGATCAGTTCCCAGGAAACCGACAGTCCGTTAACAGCACATGAGATTTGATTATAGTGGTGAAGGTTTCGTACAGGACGCTCCACATTTTTTGAAGGGTCAAATACAGAGACTTGTTACGCTACCTGCCAGAGAGTCCCCAAATGACCCCCAGCAGGTTTTGAATTCAGAGTTGTCCGTCTCCTAGACCAGTTACCATCCAAGGCTATAGAACCAAGTCTGCCATGATATCTACGCATAGCTGGGGGGAGAAGAAGAGTATTCACACCTTTCCCAAGTGTATTAGCACGTAAGTGAATGTAATGGACTCGACTGGAATTCGAACCCGGCTCTCCGATTCCTCAATCCAAGCCGCATTACTCCACTATGCTTCCAATCGGAGGCACGGTGGATTAATGGATAGCAATAGTAATCTATTTTAGCGATAGCGATAGCGATAGTAATATATATATATATATATATATATATATATATATATATATATATATATATATATATATATATATATATTGAACCAGAAGTACCTACACAATAGACTCTTTTCAGGTCTATATTAAGTATGCGACACAACACTCTAGTCAGAAACACAGAGTCAGAGAGACAGTGAGACAGCTGCGTACGACTACCAGTATTGGACACTAAGATATTCTAACTTTTGCAGCATCGGTAAACAAGCACTGTAATGATTTTAAACTAGCCGAACTGACTGCCGATGATTTCAAGTGCTTGATTTTCGCACAAGGTCTAGTATCAGCAGAAGACGCCGAAGTCAGACGACGGGTACTGACCAAGCTTGAGAACGAACAAGGATTGACTCTCCAAAAACTGGCAGAGGACTCTCAAAGAGTAATATCTGTAAAGCGTGACTCAAACACTATCGAGGAATCAGGTGTGGCTCAGATTAATAAAATCAGAAGCAAGTCTACCGTTTATTCCCCTCAAAAACACAAACAGCAAATCTCATGTCCTAAATTACGCAGTAACCAAAACCCAAATAGGTTAAAGAAACCGCCCGGACCATGTTACCATTGTGGTAAATGGCATTGGATGAAATTCTGTCCAGTTAAGAACAAAAAATATTGCAAAAATTGCAATAAAAGTGGGCATACGTTAACTTCGTACTGGTACACCAACAGAACGAGAAAACCCAAAAATAAAATTAGGCAAGCTCAATCTGACAATATTGTCGATAGGAATTTAACGAAATATGTAACTGTGGATATTTTCAATAAGTCCATTAAATTCCAGCTTGACTCGGGTTCCGATCTTGCGTACTTGGCGAAAATTGAACAAGCCGACCTTATTAAAAACGGATAAAACAGCAAAATCCGTAAGTGGAGAAAAGATTAACATTTTAGGCGAGGTAATACTTACAGTGACACTAAATGGAGTTACTAAAAAGCTCAAAGCCTACGTATTGAAAACTTCAGATAACTTATTTGGAACAGATTGGATAGAAATATTCAATCTTTGGGATTGCCCAATGAGTACATTTTGTCGCAAGATACAAAGTACAATGTCCAATTTGGTAAATCTAAAAAAGGAACTCAAACAACAATTTCCCCATGTTTTTTTCTAGCGGCCTTGGGAAATGTACTAAAATGAAAGCTAAGTTCAAGGTGAAGGACGGTACACAACCGGTATTCAAAAAGAAACGGAATGTCCCTTTCGCTGCTCTAGAGCAAATCAACAAAGAGTTAGATAGACTCGAATAAGCAGGTATCCTGTCAAAAACAGATTTGGGCAGCACCTACGGTCTACGTAAAAAAGAAGTCCAATCAAATACGAGCCAACGCGATCAGAAACATGCCGGCCCCAGATAACGTTCAAGCGTTACAAAGCTTTCTCGGACTAGCTAACATTTACCAAGGGTTCATTAAGAACATGCAAAATTTGAGAGGGCCTCTCAACCAACTCTTAAAAAAGGACAAACCATGGTCATGGACCCCGGAATGCCAAGACGCATTCGAGAAGATCAAGAAAACTCTTACTTCAGACCTCTCCCTCACCCACTACGACCCTAGTCTCGACATCATAGTCGCAAGTGATGCAAGCTCGTACGGCATGGGTGCTTTCATTTTACATAAACTGCCAGATGGTTCGCGAAAAGCTGTGGCTCACGCATCAAGATCTCTAGTTCGATCTCGACATGCCCCAAGTCTCTCCTGAAGTGCTACGCTCAGGAAGGAAAAGGAAATTTACTCAACCGCTCGACGTAAATCCCAAGAGGAAAAAATATTAACAGTTTTATTTTTTCTCTCCTTTTCAAAAAGAAAACTCTTGGAAGGGGGGTATTGTGAGAGCGGAACTACCTAAACAATAGACTCTTCCAGGTCTATATTAAGTATGCGACACAACACTCTAGACAGAGAGTCAGAGAGACAGTGAGAGCCGCATACGACTACCAGTGTTGGACACTAACATATAGTAAGCTCCGCTTACACTATCTCTGTAACCTGTTGTTAATATATCTTTCTTACATCTAATCCATGTTCCGTGTTTTCCTTCTGCGGTCCCGACTTTGGCCCCACATCATATATATATATATATATATATATATATATATATATATATATATATATATTGATGAAATACACGGACAACAAAAGGAATTACAAAACCTCTGTCCATAAATTTACGTATGAACTTAATAGTAACATTAAGATTCCTTTGCTTGATATATTGATAGACACTAATAATAATATATTCACATCCTTCCCATATAAAAAAAAATGCTAGTCTAAACTCGCGTCCTCTTAATTATAAGAGTGATTGTAACTGGTACAAAATAGAAATGATACAAAATTTAATAAACGGTGCAAAATTTAACTAAACCACAAAAAATGATTTTCTACACTGAACTAAAAAACATTAAACAAAGTCTCATTAATAATGGCTTTCCTCACTAGGTAGTTGATGAACAAATAAGACGATCTATATATATATATATATATATAATTTAGAAATTACTTTGTTTAGGTTCATATATTTGTACGCCTGGTGAATTGAATCGTATTTACGATTCCAATGGAATAAATTATGACCATGGAATATTAGTGTTTAAGCCTTTTTATTATATTATTACTCTGTACAAGGCATTGAGTTCTACTTGGATTCTATCCTCTTGGGAATATATATATATATATATATATATATATATATATATATATATGTGTGTGTGTGTGTGTGTGTGTGTGTGTGTATTGACCACTAATATTATCTATCTATATATCAGGTCATCCCATAAGTTCTTACCAATTTTAACTTTTGTTAAAATGAACGAAATTTAAAGAGTATTTTATAATGTCTAATGGAGCTGAACATTATTTTTATGTTTAGATGCATTTAAAACGGATCAAATTTTATTTCAGAGAACAATAAAATTAAATTTTGTTTGATTAAAACCCTGCTAACATGGAAGTACCCAAGAATCATTTGAGGCACATAATGCTTTATGAGTTCAAGAAAGGAAACTCAGCAGCCGAAGCGGCTAGAAACATCCACTCAGTTTATGGAGAGGAATGTGTGAATGAAAGAACTTGCAAAAGATGGTTTGCAAAATTCAAAGGTGGAGATTTCACCCTTGAAGATGAAGATCGAACCGGACGTCCGGTTGAGTTTGATGAAAAGCTTCTTGAAGAAGCCCTTGAAGAAAATCCTGCTTTATCAGTTGAGAAATTGGCAGTGATTCTCAGTTCAAACCATACAACTGTTCATCGTCATCTTCAACAACTTAGAAAAGTTTCTTAAACTTGGAAAATGGGTGTCTCATGAATTGTCTGAAAACAACCTAAAATCCCGAGTTGACATCTGCTCTTCTCTCTATTCTCGCCAACTTGTTTCACCTTTTTTGGATAGACTTGTGACTGGCGACGAAAAGCATCGTAGACAGTGGCTTGGTAAAGGGGAAGGACCCCAGCCACAGCCGAGAAGGGAACTTTATGGGCAAAAGGTTCTTCTTTCAATCTGGTGGGATCGCCAAGGAATAAACCACTTTGAATTCTTACCACCTAATGCAACAATTAATGCTCAAATATACTGTCAGCAATTAGAGCGTTTGAACCAAGCTTTGAGGAAAAAAGACCTGCTCTAGTGAATCGAAAAGGGGTGATGTTTCATCAGGACAATGTGCGACCCCACACAGCAAGAATCACGTCGCAGAAGATCAAAGAACTTGGTTGGGAGAAAATTCCTCATCCACCTTATTCTCCCGATCTTGCTCCTTCAGACTACCATTTGTTTCGTAGCTTACAGAATCATTTGGAAGAAACAGCTTTTGTAACATAGG